ATTCACAAGAAGTTTAAATTGTGGCTTATTGGATTTTACTAGAAACTCTCATACAAAAAATATTTCCTTCTCTACAAGATACTGTTAATTTCTTCAGGCAGATTATCTTTTGAGAACTTATATTGTGTTTTTCAACTTTCAGGGTCAATCTGAAGTGGTTGTAATACCATTCTGTTGTCTCTACTGATCAGCAATAATATATGGCCAACGTCATTCCCATCAATCCTCTGGGTTAACAGAAGCTGCTCCACATTTTTACCAGCAGCAATGGAACAATCTCATGTAGGAATACATATTATTCTATATTCCCCGCATGAATTTTTGAATTCTCGAGGAGTTCATGAGCAGATTAAGGTGATTTATTTTCTAAACAATATGTTCTAATCTGTTATGAGGTCTTCTTATGGAACCCTTTTTTTCCTTGTTGAAAATCGAATGAAATCATCTTCTTATGAAATTTATGACATCAATTTTTCCCAATTTCCTCCATTCCTCATTTAGCTTCATCTACTGTATTTTAAAATAAATGAGTAGAGATCATTGCTGTAATGCATAGAGACTTGAATTTACATGAAATCTCTCTCTATAATTCTTTCTTTCAATCCTACACACTTATACAAAAATCATTAAACTTTTTCACAATCTGTTTGGTAACATGAATTTCATACAGTGTATTTGAATTTCAATCTTTGAAATTCAATATCATTATTTGTTTTTATATTAATAAAAGGTAATTAAATTTAAGTGAAATACATGTATTTCACGGAAATAATTCATAAGAGTAAAACCGTGTATTTCAATTTCATTTCAATTTCAATTTCAAAAGGAATTTCCTCTCCACTCTCTTCTCTCACCGACTATGATGAAGCCTCCATCGTCCGTCATCATCGACTTTGCCGTCATTCTCTAACCTTGTCGACCACTCGATTCCAGTTCCGATTCCGATTTTGGGGTCTCCTTTTCTGCCTTATCTCACCGCAACCAATGCGAATTCCATCCAAGGTATAAAAAATGGACAGCTTGTCAAGGCGTGATCCTTCGAGGTGATGAGTCTATTTGTGGCAGAACTAAAACAAAAGGCAGATTAATGATAAGTTTTCCTGCTCAATTAAGAAAACGGAAAGAAATCATAAGAACGAGTCAATTATAAAAGAATCGAGCAACGTACCATTTCCTGGGGATGTAGAGATCCATGTTTTGTCCCTCTTTGTTCTGCATCTTGGCGGCAGTGGCGGAGAGATGTCCCTAGGGTTGGTCGATGGCGGTTAGCTAGGGTTTTCCCAAGGATGCAAGTGAACGGTGCGGGAGGGAGACGTGGGTTTATACATGCTAGGTTTTGGAGGTTGCAACTGGGCCGGGAGAAGAGTCTTGCGTTGAGCTTGGGTCTGTTAGTGTTAGGCCTAGTATGAAATTTAGCTTGAACAATGAACTATGTAAAAGTTAAAACTCTTGGGTTGGATGCTTACCCAAGAAAAATTTTGGGTTGGCTCAGTTAAATAATGGGCTTAAAAGCTGTCCATTTTTTTTGGTCATAAACAATATATTTTTCTTTTGTGCTCAGCTTCCATCCATCCAAGGTATAAAAAATGGGTGTGTGCATTGTTTTTATATATTCACCAAGAGTTTGATGTGTTTGGGAGCAATTTGACTAACCAAAATTAATAATACTACATGGTAGTGACTAGATCACCTTGTTGGCTATCTTATTTATTAACTATCATCCTACTTTTATTTATTTTTAAATGATAATCATCATCACAATATTAGTTTTTTCTTTACTCTTGTTAATTTCTCCCTCGGCTTGTTACATTTCAGTTTTTCGGTATCATGGAACATCATTTGTTGAATATATGTTCTTTTGGCCCTTGAATACTTGGTTTCCCTATGTTTGATTAATTTACTGTTGACGATGTATGATGTAGGATCTCAACCTTCTTAACAAAAATGGAATATTGTATGACAATGAAAAAATGAACAAAAAAATGGAAAATATGATGACAAATTGATTAGTGGAGGTCATTGTTCCTTTTTTTCTTATCCAATTTGTTTGTCTTGAGGTATTTAAATAATGTTTTGAAAAATTAAAATTGTTAACTTTGACTTTATTAAATTTAAATAATAATTAGAAGAAGATTTAATTTAATAGAGAAATTCAATTTTAAATGCATAGTATTTTAAAATAAAATATCCAAACAATGTATTTTAAAATACATGTATTTTAAAATACATGTATTTTAAATACATGTATTTTAATTACACATCAAATTCAAATTCAAATTTCCAAACACAACCTCAATGATTTTGTTATCATCAAAATTATCATAGGAACTCAACAAATTTACATGTAATTTAATCACAAAATGAGTTTAACATACTTGTCTCAATTT